GCTTGGTCGCTATCCCAGTGACTGCCTACTCTTAAATATCGAATTTCTTTAGACATCCTGGCTATCTAGTTCCGAATTACCTTTCTGTTACAAACATGGGGAAAGATGACTTGCATGGCTGATTAACCAGAACCCGGTAACAGAACCGCTCCCCCTCCGCCCAGTTAATATAGGTGGTCCTGTCCTACATTTCAGGAAGAGTAAATATTCCCATGCCAAAATGGCACACTTCCTCCACGGGACTGCCCCAAGATCGCCAGATTTTGGTGGGCATGGCTTCGGCCACCTTTGCCTACAGGGCTTGAAGGCTTTGTGGATGGGAGTTTTTTCAGTCTCGGGCATGCGAACCTCACACAGGACAGACACCCTTAGCATCCTTCTTTACTTTGAAAAGAAGTTTCAATAGTCGGGACAGGAGATTAATTCGCTTTTACGGTTAGTAAGGACGGCTTGTATGGGCCCCTTAACAGGACACGCGAACAAGAGCCGTCCGCAATGCAGGTGTTGTGGCGCCAAGTTTCAAAGAAACTAAGTTAAGGTTTAAGGTTATGGTTAAACGGCAACAGTAGCTTATGTAGGCTCACTCATTAATCCCTACTCCCTGTATGTTTTCCTACGAAAACGGTGGTTATAGGGTTTTATGGGTGAGGAATTAGGACACGCAGTGGAATATACTTTAATAAATGCTAAATACATTTTCGTTTTACTGTATTTAGAAGTGTTGTTGATTTATATCTGTAGATGTCCCAAATCTGTAATATCATTTAACTTATTTCGGAAAAACACGATTATCAAGTTGCAGGTTTCTTGAATTTCCCGAAAAATTGAAATGGTGGTTAGAAGGTCGTCTACTTCAATTTACTTGAGGTCCAACTCATCGTTCTGGAGTTAGACTAGTGTAGTCCGCGGCGCGGAGCGCCGCGCACACATTTTATTTACATGCGGAACAACTTACTCCCAGCGGCCGCGGGAAGCAACTTGGACATTTTTTCAATTTACACTTCTAAAAAATTCCTTCTCTGCCTATCCTTGTCGTGATTGAGATATAGTCGAGCTAGTCAGTACGTAATAGCCGAACAGTCGAGGAGAATGAGAAGTCGAGTACCCTAGAATTGGGCTTTACTCATCTTAAAATCGTCGTACATGAACTGAAAAGGAATGAAGAGCGGTTAGGATTATATAGGCACAAATCAAGCGTTCGTAAGAAGGTAGGAGTGAACGG